TACAGCCCACTTCTTCGGATGCATATAGAAAGCTTATGCTCTAATAAATTTGTTAGTCTCTAAGGTGCCACAAGTACTCCTGTTCCATTTCCTTGTAGGTCACAAAAATCACCCAATGGAAATGGTTTTGTTAGAAATAAGTTACTTGTTTACAGAAGCTTCCCACTGATACTTTCCTTTGCCTTGGGTTTGCATTGTTCAAGCATATTATAACTTTGACTTCTCTTTAAGTATTGTTTGAATAGTTATTGCAGGTTACATGATTAGTGAAGGTATCTATTCAAGTAACCTTATTGAAAAGTTGTAATTTATTATATCAGATGAGTGGCAAATATTTTACCAAGTCCCCACTATGTTTTATGAGCAGCAGTACATTCATAGGCAAGACTCTTCCTCTGAGATGCCTAAATTCCAATTTTCTATAGGAGCATGAAACACAGACCCAGCGTGAATTCCTGGCTCCACTGAAGTAAATGGCAAAACTCCCATTATCTTCAGTAAGGCCAGGATTTCGCTCCAAATGACTTGCCTAGAATGTTGTCTCTAGCACCTCTTAAGTGACCCCCTCTTTCTTTTGCTTACCCAAGTCCATTTCTCTTTAAGTGGGGGGGAGGGGGGAAAAAAAAAGAATTAGAGACCTTGTATGTCCATTGTTTTCTAAAGGGAAATCCATTCCAGACCACCACATCTTTTGTCATAAAATGAAAACTTTGATGGATAGAAAATTCCCCACTGTGAACTGCTATTGAGAATCTTTCACCTTATTATTTAGTATTTATATTGCAGTAGTATCGGAAGGCCTCAACCGTGTTGGGCCCCAATTCTACTCATTAATGTACAAGATAGTTGCAGCTCTATGCCTCTAGGGCTTCGTGCTTTAATCTAGTAGGAGACTCCAGAAGATACTGATAATAGGGACAAGGTTATTTAACAGAGATCATGATAGCCCAGGAACAGCTATCCTAAATCATTCCATTGAAAAAACTGTTTTTTTTTCCTTGGCATAATATTGCAAACAAGCAATCTCTTGACACTGGAAATCCAGATGAACAAAACATACTTTACAGTATTGTAAACATAATGTTAACTCTTTAGAAATCGAGCTTGTATCTTTTTAGTAAATGTATAAAGCAAAGAAAATTGTATTATATTACAGTATTTTTAAGTCCTATTAATGCACTATTAAGACAAGTACAGTATAGCTGTAGTAATGGGGATATTTGTTAGTGCTAATACTTTGACTTCAGTAGTCAAAAATAAAGAATTAGACATTTTCGTATGTTTACAACTTTTTTAAGTCAATTGTTTAAGCTACTGTAGGAATGCAGAGGCATGTTGTCTATTTAATTTTTGTATCATCTTGATAAAAAGTGAATGTTTTTGCATAGTAATTAAACATAAATGTTGCTCAGAAAGCTATTTTTCCTGTGTTTTCTAGCTTTACAGAGTTGATCACATTGAAAACTGTAGCTAGAGAGTAGGAAATGAGAGGCAGTTTAAAATAATAAATACAGAGGAACCAGGGCTGTCAAGCAATTAAAAAAATTAATTGCATCATTAATAATAGAATACTATTTAAATATTTTTGGATGTTTACTACATTTTCAAATAACACAGAACGCAAAGTGTACAGCGATCACTTCATATTTATTTTTGATTACAAGTATTTGCACTGAAAAAAAAAAAACCAAGAAATTCACCTAGTACAAGTACTTTAATGCAATCTCTTTATCATGAAAGTTGAACTTACTTATCATGCAAGTCTACTCAGTCCTACTTCTTGTTCAGCCAATCGCTCAAACAAGTTTGTTTACATTCGCAGGAGATAATGCTGCCCTCTTTTTATTTACAATGTCACCAGAAAGTGAGAACAGGCATTTGCATAGCACTTTTGTAGTCAGCATTGTAAGGTATTTACCTGCCAAATATGCTAAATATTCATACGCCCCTTCATGCTTCAACCACCATTCCAGGCATCCATGCTGATGACAGGTTCGGCTCAATAACAATCCAAAGCAGTGTAGACCGACGCATGTTCATTTTCATTATCTGAGTCAGAAGCCACCACCAGAAGGTTGATTTTCTTTTTTGGTGGTTCGGGTTCTGTAGTTTCGCATCAGAGTGTTGCTCTTTTAAGACTTCTGAAAGCATGCTTCACACCAAGGCTCTTCAGATTCTTAAACCTTGGGATGAGTGCTGTAGCTATCTTTAGAAATCTCACATTGGTACCTTCTTTGCTTTTTGTCAAATCTGCAGTGAAAGTATTCTTAAAATGAACAACATGTTCTGGGTCATCATCCGAGACTGCTATAACATGAAATATATGGCAGAATGCGGGTAAAACAGCAGGAGACATATAATTCTCAACCTAAGGAGTACAATCACAAATTTAATTAATACATTTTTTTTTAACAAGCATCATCAGCAAGTCTTCTGGAATGGTGGCCGAAGTATGAAGGGGCATACAAATGTTTAGCATATCTGGCACGTAAATACCTTACAATGCTGGCTACAAAAGTGCCATGCAAATGCCTGTTCTCACTTTCTGGTGACATTGTAAATAAAAAGAGGGCAGCATTATCTCCTGCGAATGTAAACAAACTTGTTTGTCTGAGCAATTGGCTGAACAAGACGTAGGACTGAGTAAACTTGGAAGATAAGTAAGTTCAACTTTCATGATAAAGAGATTGCACTAAAGTACTTGTATTAGGTGAATTTCTTGTTTTTTTACAGTGCAAATACTTGTAATTAAAAATAAATATGAAGTGATCGCTGTACACTTTGCGTTCTGTGTTGTAATTTAAATCTGGTGACATTGTAAATAAGAAGAGGGCAGCATTATCTCTTGCGAATGTAACCAAACTTGTTTGTCTTAGCAATTGGCTGACCAAGAAGTAGGAATGAGTGGACTTGTAGGCTCTGCAGTTTTACATTGTTTTGTTTTTGAGTACAGTTGTGTAACAAAAAAAACCCTACATTTGCAAGTTGCACTTTCATGACAAAGAGATTGTACTACAGTACTTGTATGAGGTGAATTGAAAAATAGTATTTCTTTATAATTTTTACAGTGCAAATATTTGTAATAAAAATATACACTTTGATTTCAATTACAACACAGAATACAATATATATGAAAATGTAGAAAAACATCCAAAATATTTTATTAAATTTCAATTGGTATTCTATTGTTGGACAGTGCGATTAAAACTGCGATTAATTTTTTTTAACTGTGATTAATCGACAGCCCTAGTGGGAACTAAACCCCTGAATTCTAATCCCAGTTTCCCCATTAATTTAATATTTGTTTCCCAATCTATAAAATGTGGATAATACTTAGGTATAAAAATTATCTTGCAGAGGTGCTGTAAGATTTAACTAATTTAGTGACAGGTATTATTCATCCAACACGATGTTTACCATGGGACACAGGGAAAGGGAGCCTTTTTTGGCATTCTCCCCTATCCGCCATGCTCTACACATAAGGCAAAATTGAAGGGATTCTTGGCTACTAACCACATAATCCACCCGCCCTTTTACATATACACTCAAAATTAATCCCATTATTCCAGGAGAATCTCTAATTCCTGCATGGACTCCTGCAGAGTTTATAACCCCTAAAAGGCTTCTGGCAGACAGACTCTGGTAGAGTCCGCACATTGTGCTCCTACAGGTTTATGGAACCAACTGGCTTAGATGCTTCATGGGATGTTCTCAGTCAAGGACTGTACCCTGGGTGGAAGTCTTATATTGCCCAAAGTGGGTAAGGAATGACAAAGTTCATTTTGATCTGTAAAATTTGTTACATAAAATTGCTTATAAAAACTAAGCACAAGCTGAGTTAAAGAAATTTACAAACAATGTTTGAACTAAAACCTGTGTTTACACAGTTTCAAGACTCTGGTAAGATCACAGAATTGCTATAATAAAACAAGTTAAAGTGAAAGGAAATGCCCAGATTTAGGATTGCTAGATGTTGGTTTTGATTAAGGGTGTCACCTCTTTTTGTACTAGGAGCAAAGAGTCCTGTGGCACCTTATAGATTAACAGACGTATAAGAGCATGACCTTTCGTGGGTGAATACCCACTTCTTCGGATGCATGTAGTGGAAATTTCCAGGGGCAGGTATAAATATGTAAGCAAGAGTGAGT